TACCACTGGTCTGTGTAACTGATTGCAAGTCATGTGAGGCGATGAATTCTACAAAACTTGTTACAGAGAAACGTTTGAGGATAGAAATAAGTGGAATTAAAGACATGATCGAAAGTGGACAGGTTCGAGAAATTAGGTGGTCTAACACTGACACTCAGTTAGCGGATTGTCTCACAAAACGTATCGCATCTCCACTAGTTCTGATGAAAATTCTGGAAACTGGTATTATTCCGCAATACTACACTTGTGACGAGCCGTGAATGAACATTTCGCAATCAGTGCTAATTGTTTGTTACAAACTGTTCAAACATAATCATGTGTGTATGGTTCAGTAATTTTGTTTTTTTTATCTTGTATATTTTTGCATGTCTGAGTAAGTTCATGCTTGTGTATGTGTTGTGTGTGCTAACAACAACAACAAACTTTTTTTTTCATTTGCTGTTCATTGTATCTAATCTTTTATAAAACAAAAGACAGTGGAGATTGTTAACCATGTACTATCTGTATACATGCCAACTTTAATGAGAGTTATATCCTTTCCCGGCTGGATAGGAAGCGGATGCCCAGCTCGGGCATGTGCGTGAGGGGGCTTGTTGTTGGGGTGCTGTGATGTGCTATTTGAAGTAAACAAAAGTCTGTACTGTTTGAGTGAGTTTGTAGTATATTATCGATCCAACAGGAAGTTGGTTGTTGCAGTGTTTCCCCTGCATTGACACAAGCGAGGCGGGCTGCCTTACTCAAATTCTCAGCCGCCACACAGAAATTTGTCCAAAACACTGCCTCGCTGACGAAAATCTCATACAATGTGTTCAGAATAGCTTAGAATGCACCAAATTGCACCATTTTTTCAAAAAAATTCTGGGGCATGCCCCCGGTCCCCCCATCCCCCGCTTCTGGTCGAGTAACTCCGGTGCTCGCTTTGCTAAGACCTCGAAACGTGCAAACACACCAAAAACAACCTTTTTGGCCAGGGGAAACACTGGCTGTCAGAAGTCAAAACTAAAGATAACAACTGTGCATTAAAAATAACTACCTTAATTGCCTTACTTATATAATCATCTTACACCCTGTACAGACTGCAAAATTTGATCCTACATCAGACTGGTCCGGGCCAGGCTTCAAGGATAGAGAACATGAGTCGGCCAAAAAACCTATGTCATTTAGCATTCAAATATAAATATAATATTCATCTCAATATGCTGGGTTATGCGTTTAGCGGTATCTGTTAGGGTTAGGGTTAGGTTAGGGTTCAAGCGGTTAGAATTAAGGTCGGTTAGGTTAGCGGTTAGCACAATGGTTTATCGTGGACCCATGCTTCTCCTATCCTTGGGCCAAACTTCTACTGAAATCTAACACGACTGCTTACACTTATATTTTTTT